GGGGGCAAGGCCATGGATGGCCTTGAAAGTGAGGACGAGGATCTTGAATTTGATCCTCTGAGGGATGGGGAGCCAGTGGAGTCAGGCAAGGGTGGGAGTGATGGGGTCACGGAGCCTGGTGCGCGAGAGGACACAAGCTGCAGAGTTTTGGATGATCTGTAGCTTGTGAAGGGAAGAGTTGGGAAGGCTGATGAGGAGGGAGTTTCCATAATCGAGCTTTGATGTGACGAATGCGTGGGTGAGGGTTTTGGCAGCCTGAGGGGTGAGGCAGTGGCGGAGTCTGGCACTGTTGCAGAGTTGGTGGTAGGCAGTGCTGGTCATGGCGCGGATGTGGGGGAGAAAGGAGAGATCAGGGTCAAACAAGACACCCAGGTTCCTGACTGGCTTAGCGAGGTTGAGTGTGCAGCCGTGAAGACTGATGCTGCCAGTGCCCGAGGTGCGGAGGCGCTAGCGCGAGCCAATCAGGAGGGTCATAGGGAAAGTTTCGGGGTTTAACAAGAACGAAAATAATTTTAGATAAAGAGGCCCAAAGTTCTGGGGGTTGGCAATAAAGAAAAAGCTATAACCACATTAAGCCAATGCGGGGGTGGGGGGGGGGGGGGAAAGGAAATGTGTGCAAGGATAAAGGTCAAAATATGAGAAAGAAACTGTTGAAATGCAGCCCATTACTCAGGAGAGATTTCCACGCAAAAATGGTAAGAAAGTTTCCTCCGCCAGCCCCCAGGTAAATTTCCTCCTCTCCTGCCCCATTTTTCCCATATACTGAGACATGATTGCCCCAAAGGCACCAGCCAGTACCTTGTCTAAGTGACTAATGTTGACTTTGTGTGCACCAGCAACACATAGAAATGTACTCGAACCTTATGGTATGCAACACAACTACAGGTGAAATGGGGGTATCTTTACCTTTACAGTCGGAGATTTCGAAAAGGAGAGAGGGTGATGGTAGGGGGAAGGGCTCCAATTTAATAATGTTCACAATTAACAAAGTGTGATTCGTAAATTGTGATCAAATCCGAACAATTTCAATTAAAAAGGGAGCAAAGAAGATCCATCAAGGTTATGGGACTTCTGTACAGTACATAGCTATCTACATCCACTTTTCATTCCACACATCTAGCCTCAAACTTAGATAAAGGAATGCTGTACAAAACTGCCCTGCTCTCAGTCACAAAATTAGCAGATTACCAAAGTTCCAATGCACTTCAGGAGATGAATCTTGAAAAATCTTAATCAGGGAAGGACATTTTCTGAAGGCAAACAGTTGGCAGGAGATAACAGGAAGGTTCAGCCCATTTGATCTAATTGTTTCAGCCTGACACAGATGGTAGCAGTCAGAGTCACGCGGTTTGGGTTGCGTTTAAGCCCTATGTAGAGACTTTGAACTCACACTCAAGACTGACACGCCATTATGCTGTTGAGGGAGAGCTGCTTTGTTGGAAGTGCCATCCTACAGATGAGACATTAAATCAAGGTCCTATCTGCCTGTTCAAGTGGATGTTTAAGATCCCAGGATACTAAATGAAAAGGAAAGGGAATTCCTCCCGCTATCCTAGCTAACAATTTTCCCTAGACACTTTATGGCCATTTGTAGGACAATGATGTACACAGATTGGCTGCTGTATTCACCTACAACCTCACAGTAAATCCTATCAAACGCTTTGAGACATTCTTCTGATGCAAAAGGCACCATAATAATACTTGCATTTGATATAGCGCTTTTCATGTCTTCTACACGTCTCAAAGCGCTTCACAGAATAGACTGTAAAGTGAATTGACTGTATATTTGTGAGCGAAATATCAAATGCAAGGACTATTATAATCTATTACAGGATCAAATAGTTTCAGCATCCTTGCTTCAATCACCCTTCCTGGTTACCCGGTTTAAGTCGTTAATTACCCTTCTGCGTAAAGAAAAATGCTTCCTGCCAGGAAGCACTTGGCACCCGCCTGTCTGAAGAGAGCCTGTGTTCAGAAATCACTACACAATCAATGTCGCAAATGTGCAATGTTACCATTCCTCACCAGGCAAATAACCTGCCAATAATAATGATCCTTGCCTTTGATACAGGACCGTATGGTCGGCAAGAGATCTCAAAGCGTTTTACAGGATTTTAAATGTACAGTGATTGTATTTTGAAGGCAAACGCAGCAGTTAATATGCACACAATCTCCCACAAATATCCACAAAGCGAGTGACCAATTGTATTTGGGGGATTCTTGGTCAGGATACAGGGAGAAACTCTCTTGGTTTTTTGAACAATGCCATGGGATCTTTAATGTCCATCTGAACAAGCAGATCAAAGGGGCCTCAGTTTAACTTCTTAACCGAAAAACAGCACCTCTAACAATGCAGCGCTCCCCCAGCATTGCATTGGAGTGTCAGCCTAGACTGAGAGTTCAAAGTCCTGATGTGGGACTTGTGGAGAAGTTGCATTGGAACAACACAGCTGAATGGTGAGGGGTATTCTGCAGTAAAACCACCAAAAAAGGACAAAGCTTTTTGTAAAAAAATTGAAAAAAATCATTTAGGCACTCAATCCATGACTGTTTGTGGGACACTGCTGTGCCCATTTGGCTGCCGTGTTTTGCACACAAAATATACAATCAATGTCACAAATATGCAGTGTTAGCACTCCACCCCAGGCTTCACTTTACAATATATCCTGTGAAGCGCTTTGAGACGTGATAAAGCGCTATATCAAATGTAAGGAATAATCGTTAATATGATTGTAAAAATAAACAACAATAAGCTCCATTAGAACTATATTAGGAACATTTGAAGAAAAAAATTCTTGAACACATTTATCTTGAAACAAAATTATTGGCCAAATCAACCACACTTGCAATGACCAACTGATGTAAGGCTGGCTGGCTGTCATATCAAAGTACATCATCAGCAGTCAAGGTCATTGCTCCTGCCAGACCATTAATAGAAACAACCTTCAACTTCCAAAGACTCATGAAAAGAAAGATTATAAAATAAAAGCAAACCTGAAAAATTTAAAAAGGAAAAAAAAAATCACATAATCTCTCCTCTACATGATCCAACAACCATCCTTAGTTGCTCGATCGGTGTGAATTTGTTGATTCTAGTACCTGACACACAGAAGCAATCAAACTGGGCTTCTCTGTAAAACAAATTATTTTTAGCTGCTGGTATACAGCAGCACATTGAGATCTGTGTGGTTTCTATAGTAACTGGTTAATCAGGACCATCATTGCTCCTAACCCCCACCTTCCTTCATTCCTTCCCCCAGTGCAAGTAATCAGTCCATGACCTTGACTGGCTGGCTGGCTGGCTGGCGGAAAAAAAAAGCCCTGATCAATATTCAGCTGTCTGCCATTCCCAAGACGCTCACCATGTCTCTTCCTTACCTAAACATTTCTCCGTAATGCTTCTCAGCTCATTCCCTGCTGTCACTACAAAACTGTCAGACCCTGGATCATCCAGTCACACCTCATTACATGAATTCTGGCCAGGCCAAGACCAGCTCCCCATCAGCTCTCCAAACTCTTAGCGTCATTCCCGCTCAGAGCTGATCACAGTGCTGACCTCCTCAGCTTGTTTTTAATATGTACAAAATGCAATATTAAAGCATACAAAAATACCACCTACCAAAATTAGGATGGGGATAAAGTCGTTAATAATAATAATCTTTGCATTTGATATAGCATCTGATCACGCCGTTGAGACGTCTCAAAGTGTGTCCCAGAATATTTTGCAAAGTGTGTATTTTGTGGGCAAATTGCAGCAGCCAATTGCATACAGCAGTGTCCTACAAACAGTGAGACCGAATTATTTTATTTATTTACTTTTTTAAAAAAAAGTGATCCGGGGGTAATAATCCCTTAAATTAAATTAACAAATAATGACCTGAAAGGGTACATACAATATAGCAATATACAGGGGAATCCCGCTATCACACGGTTGTTAGGATCCAGAAAATTTCAACCTATCCTATATGGAAAGGCGCTAAATAGCTGCTGTTGTCAGCACTTTCAGATTTGTTTGGCATCACAACAGAAAGCTGCCCGCAGCTCTCATGCAACCTACTCAAGATCCTCTGCTTCAACCGTGCCTTCTGTCACTCTCCGATCCCCCCAACGTCCTCCACCCTCCCTCCCACTATCCCCCCCGTCCAGGTCCAAATCCCTTACTGTCCAGGGCCTTGGTTCGTCCTCCCGATGTGAAAGGCGCTGGACAAATGTTGTTGTTCAAATCTCATCAAGGGATTTTGGCACCCTTGTGACACACAACCAAATGTACTAGCATGGGTAAGTTAGGTTGTGCACTCTCATGATGCAAAGCAAACCTTCCAGCACTATTCCATCGATAATAGGATTTAGAAGCATTAACATCAGAAATGTCAGGGTCCATTACCTACCCGCCCTGTAAATGAGGCAGCACTGCTATACTGAAGGGCTTTATAAAAATGCTTTATAACATGCTCTGGGTAGCTCTCCTGGGTGAGGAGTGCTATATACATGCAAGTTATTGTTGTTGGTTCTTTTGTACTAAAATTGGGCACTGTTTTTTTTTAAATCAGCACAGAAGTGGCATCCACTAAACTTTCTTAGGTTTGACAGAAGGTGCAAAACAAAAATGCAATATGCAATTATTCTGAAGACTTTTTCTCATTTGTTAAGGTCTCGATGTGTGTTTTTTGGGGGAAAGGGGGGACGGAAGGATTTAACATTTTCGCACCCTATTTTTAAAATTAAACAGAGAGAAGAGGAGAAGGTAAATGATTATTTAGCTCTCATTCCAGTCTCCTCCCCACTTCCACCACCCAATTCAAAGATAAGTTGCAAGTGTAGTTCATGAGGATGTTCATGACCAACCAATTTCTCTTGCTCCTACTTTGCGTGGAGTAACCAAAGATGACGCTTGGTTAAGCCACCGATAAAAAGGACCTGTCGCTCCAAGGCAGGACGAGCTGCTTTGTGACAATCTACAACACAGCCACATGGCAGAGGAGGAATTCGACCGGTCTTACGTTTGTGGCCGTCCCCTCTGTGAGCTGGTGGCGAGCGCGGCTCTGAATCTCTCTCATCGTCTCCTTCCTCGTCTGCGAGATGGGTGTGAGCGTAGTGGTAGCTGAGGCCAGGACGGTTCTTGTAGCGCTTCCCGCAGACTGTAAAAACAAGAGGGAAGAGGAGGCTAGTGGCGCAGTGATTGATTGATCAATATTGCCATGCGGTTTTTACATTCCCATCTGCCAGGTTCAGCCTTCAATTTCAATAGCTAATTGGTGAAGTAATTGAGGGATATATATTATGAATAAAAAGCATAATGGAAAAAAAACACGGAAAGATAAAATAAAGTACAGGCAAGAAGCGAAAACAGCACAGCTGCAGTCTATGGCTAGTTACTCATAGACCGAGTAGGCAACTGCGAAGTACCTTTGTCAGATGTTTTTGAGTTATGCTTTTGTTTGTAACTATCTGAAACAGAGAAGAAGAGACAAGAGAAAAAGGAGTGAATTTCACAAAGGATAGATAAAAAAAGTAGTAGACCACAGAGAGAGAGAAAGAGAGAGAGAGGATGAGTCTAGTTCACAGATTTCAAACCATGCAAGAGAAGGCAGGCTGAAAAGGAGCAAGATACTTCCTGGAAGAGGAGGTCTCTCCTTCCGCTCGCTGTGACAGGCTACTTACTGTCACACACATACGGCTTATCATGGTCTTCCTGGGCAGTCGTATCATTTTTCCTCTTATTGCCCACACCACGTGTCTAGAAATAGAAAAAAAAGACCAAAAAATGCACTTAAATTTGGAAGAGTATCTACCTGAGTAGTCTGCGGAGTCCTGCAGAGTATTGGTTAGAACACTTGCCTCACAAGCGAGGGGGCCCAGGTTCGATTCAACAACAATAACTTCCATTTATATAGCGCCCCTCACGCCGGGAAGCATCCCGGAGCGCTTAACAGTGGAGGAGTCTGACCCCGAGCTATTGGGAGAGGAAGGTGAGCACGATAAAAAATGAAGGTCTTTAGGCGGGAGGGGACAAGGTGTAGAGATGGGGGGGAGAGAGTTCCAGAGCTTCGGTGAGTAGTGACTGAAAGCACGGCCGCCGATGGTGTAGCGGAGGGGGTAAAGAACGAACAGGAGGTCGGAGATGGCCGAGCGGAGGCAGCGGGTGCTGCAATGGGGCGGTGAGCAAGTCGGAAAGGTAGGGAGATGCGAGGGCATGAAGGAATTTGAAAACTAGAGGGGATCTTGAAGTCGATCCGTTCAGAAATTGGGAGCCAGTGCAGCCTGGCAAGGACTGGTGTGATGGGGGTCCGGAGTTTTGTGCGGGTGAGTATCCGGGAGTTCTGAATTAATTGTATTTTATGTATGGTGGAACTGGGGAGACCAGCGAGGAAGGCATTTGAAAGGTCCAAACGGGAAGTGACAAAGGCGTGGACGAGCGTTTCAGCCGCTGTGGGTGTGAGGTATGGACCGAGGCGGACAATGTGGTGGAGGTGGGAAAAAAAATTATACGACGTGATAAGGTGTTATATCAAATGCAAGGATTATTAATATTTACAATTAAAAAAAACTTCATGATGGGTGAATGCCAGGCAAGGGTAGGATCAGGCTTAGCTATGATAACACCCACCCCATCCCAACCCCACACACCCAACACTCAAATAGCCTGAAAGCATTTACTGTCCAGGTTCACGCATGAGTAACGGAGTCTTGGGCAGGGTACTGAAGGGTGCCATGGTCGACCAGTTAAAAAAAATAGCTGTTACAGAACGTTATGTTAAACATCTGAGTAAGTTAACTATGATCAATTATTGCGCAGCTCGGTTTCCTTTAAGGTTACAATGAAAAAGACGTGGAGATAATATAATACGTTAGCTTTATTTGTGACGGTCACCAGCGCCGGTTTAACTTGGGGCACTGCAAAGTACGAAACAACTGAAGCTCATCGAAGCAAAGAAAAATGTGCCGCGCAGACAAAATGATGCTGTTGTCCTTACCCGTCCTCGGTTCTTGTTTTTACGCTTCGGGACATCGTCTTCCAACTCTTCCTCCTCCAGGTCATCCATATTCTCGTCATTGTCCAAAACTCTCTGCCGTCAATGACAACAACAAAAATTAACATCTTGAATGAAATAAAACAAATCTGAGAATTCCATTTGAATGTACTTTTTGCATCGCGTCATCTGGAGAAGAAGGTCTCAAGTTCAACACACAGGCGGACTAGACTGATCTCAGCTGGAACAGCTGTCGGAAAGCTGTAGTTTTCCTTGGTCGCCCTCGTGCTGGATATTTTGTGAGCGAAACACACACGGTCTGGTAATATCAGGCTCAGGTGTGATCTCGATATCAACCTGCCTACTGTCTCCGCTCAGCAAGCTCCGGCCTACTCCACCGTCAGCAGCCAGGCCTTCAGCCTTTCTGCCCCCCCCCACCCAATGGAACTCCATCCTACACTCCCTTCGTCTCGCTCCCTCCCTTTCAGGCGGGTTTCAAAACTCTACTCTTCAACCGAGTCTTCGGCCACCCTCCTATCCGCCTCGATCCCGACCCCCAGCTCGGGTCCAAATCCCTGCCTGTCCAGCGACTTGAGACGTCCTCCCAACCTGAAAGGCACTATACAAATGTAATTTGGTATTGTATCTCTTTCCTCCAATACAATATACATTTATACAGTGCCTTTCACATCACAAGTGCTTGATAATTCTGGATCGGCACCGGAGCTGAGGATGGGGGCCAAGGTAGAGGGGGGGGTGAAGGAGGGGAATAAGATAACCGAAAGCACTGTCAAAGACGTACATTTGAAGCGTAATTTGAAAGAGGGGAGGGAGCGAGTCAGAGGGATCCGGGAGTGCGGGGGCATGGGCCTCAGGGTTCGGGATAATCTACAGCCAGTGCAGAGGAGAATGACACATGGTCACCAACAAATCTCAAAGATGAAGAATGCCTATGTGGAGAAGCTACAAGCGGACAACTGATGCCCAGGGAACTGCACCAAACAGAGCGATAAACAGCTTCACAAGAGAAGGCAGGAGAGAATTCAGTGAGCAAAATATAATTGTGGTATCCTGCGATGACGCTTACAATTCCCAACACTCTGAGCTCCCAACCTCCATGGAGAGCCACTGAGCAGATGTGTTCTTCCCCTCGGAGAAAGATGGGGGGTGAGGATTTGCTCCTTCGCCTCCAATTGGGGGGGTGGGGAGGGAGGCGGAGCAGGGTGCGAAAAAAGGAAAAAAATCATAGCCTATAAAGAAACGAATAATATGTGTACAACTGAATAGACAATGGCACACATTTGTTTTGAAGCCTTTCATCCAGAATAAAGCCTTAATGAGTAGAAACCAATTAATATGAGGCATGTGCCTGTTGAATAGAGGTCTATGCAGCAATCCAGTCTGCTGGTAGAAAAGGTTTTTTTTAAAATAAAGAAGAAAAAAAACGAGGAAGCAGCCTTCATTAATATTCAAGGCACCAATTAGGACTCAGAACTCGGATCGAACCCCTGGTTTCTGAAGCATCTACCTTAAAGCTAAGAGCACTTTGGTATCGTTGAACAATTGATGAATTACACTGGAGTGCTTGGACATTCAGAGTGGCAGACACGGCAAGCAGACACAGACACATCTGTGGATGTGGCCACAGAACTGCACAGGCAAAAAAACAAAAGGCTCATCTGGAAATCATATCTCACTCTTACAGCACAGCACCTGCTGCACTCACTGCCTTTTTTTGTTTTTAAAAACCTAAGCCCGACGAGCACTATCCGACAATTGCCAATTCCACCCCCCCCACCACCCCCGGAAAGCTTTGACAAAGTGTTCTGCAGATGAAAAGCAAACACGCACACATACACAGAGAGAAGGTGTCTATTAATTAGCTGAAGGCACGAAGGAAAAGGCGTGATTATTGATCATTCGCCGAGATTTTCCAATCAATGTGAAGCTGCCAACAGTAAAGTGAATCAAACGCGAGGAGACATTTCGAGGACATCTGATTGCATTTTGCATGACGTTATTTTAATCTTGTGCGAATCACTGGACAAGATAGTCCTTGTGCCATTACGTGCAGCAACCTTGACATGATTGTCAAAGTCTCTGCATTTAATGGCAGACAGGTATGATATCACCCTCACTGTTTGGAGTATTAAGCACCCTTGACAGAGTTCAGAGAAAGGCAAGGATGAATCTTGAATTTAGTTCCAAGTATTGAGTCGATTCTTTGGCTATTCGGATGTGAGGAAACCCATCACCGTGCTTAAGAGTATCCAAATCAATGTTCCACAACTGTGTGGAAATTTGCCTTAACTGGAATGGAGTGTTCACTCACTTAATAGAGCAGGACACATCCAAAGCAGAAAATACACAGTCACTACACTTTACAATATATTCTGTGGAGCACTTTGAGACATCTCAGCAACGTGATAAGGCGCAAAATCAAATGCAAGGATTATTATTATGATTATAGATGGAGCAAGCTCATCCAGCTAAGAGTAAGAGCGAGCAGCACCCACACACTTAAGACTTATAGGAAGCAGAGAGTGAAATTCACGGCTTTCAGATCTGCAATAATCTGCAGATATTGGGCTCTGTACTGTAGTTGTAAGCAGACCATTAGCGTGCAACAGAATAATAGTCTTAAATTTAACAAGTCCCAATATCTGGATTGTCTACAGAATAAAATTTTCTCCATTACTTTTGGATATTAGAAAGATCTTTCCTCAGAAGATGCATGACAATATAAGGGTCAATTGCACATCTGTAGGAGCCATCTCTACTTTTCTCCCATCGTGCTCCCTTAATGTGATAAAGTGCGAGAGCAATTGCAAGAATTACTATAATTGTTATAAGCGATTGACCAGTCACCAAGGGGGAGCATGTGGAGTTTGAAGACGAGGGGACCGAGGACAGAGCCGTGAGGAATGCCGCACAAGTCCCTTTTTTTAAGCAAACGACTACTGTAATATATTTGATTGGAGCTGTGGGCTGGATTCATTTACTTGGAAAAGGAACAGTAAACCTGGCAAATAAGTAAGCAGCCAAACGGCCAACTGCATTTGCCTAAAGATGCTTGGATTCCTTGCAGTGAATTTGCTGTAAAATGATTTAGGAGCTTTTATTTGCTACCATCACAACAGTCCTGTGTGGCGTTCCTCAGGGCTCTGTCCTCGGTCCCCTCCTCTTCAACCTCCACGTGCTCCCCCTGGTGACATCATCCACAGACATGGGGTCAACTTCCATATGTACAGGGATGACACCCAACTCTTATCTCTCTGCCTCCACCCTCGATTCCAGGACAACTGAGGACCTAACAGATTGTCTGTCAGACATCAAGTCCTGGATGAGAGCCAACTTTCTGCAACTGAATGTCAGCAAGACCGAGGCCCTCCTGATAGGCTCGTGCCACGGTTTTGCCACCTCCTACCTCTCTGACCTGCTAACCCTCTATCAAACTGTTCACTCCCTGTGTCCAGTGGGCTCCAGCCTGCTCTATGTCTCCCGCCTGACCCACCCTACCATCGGCGGCTGGACTTTCAGCCTCTTTGCCCCCACCCTTTGGAACTCCATCCCACAAACCCTTCGCCTCGCTCTCTCCCTCGCCTCCTTCAAGGCACGACTCAAGGCCCTCCTTTTCGAACGTGCCTTCAGCCGCCCTCCTACCTCTCTGACCTCCATCATCCCAACTCTGGGGCTTTACAAATGTAATTTTGTTGTTGTTGCTGTTGTTGTAGTAATAGTTTGAAACAAGTGGTTTAATATTTGCATATAATAGCTTCTAAAGGAGGAACAAGAAAAATAGTTTTAGAACTGACAGAGAGAGAGAGAGAGAGCGAGAGAGAGAGAGAAATAAAGCACACGTCACACTGGCAATTCAATATCGGCTGCTATTTGACACAGGTGAAAAATCAGAAAGAACGTTAATCCTACATGACCTCCTTGAGTTGAGACAAGTCAGATCGGAATCTCTGAGTGAATGGAAGATTTCTTCTGCCTCGCAATGATCTGTGACACTGACTGTGTAAATGCTGTGCTAGATGCAATTCTAGAATCAATACACTTTGTTAAACCCTGCTTGCTATAAATTACTAAGATCTTCAGTTTAATGTTTCGCCCAGAAAATACAGTCAATCCACTTTACAGTATATCCTGTGAAGCGCTTTGGAGGTGTCTCAAAGACGTGATAAGTCGCTATATCAAAGGCAAGCATTATTATAATAATTCTTAATGTTAAGATCCATCATAAAGGGATTGAAAGAGTTAATTGCTTGTAAGTAATCATGCTGCTAAACATAAGAGTGGATAGCTCCAATGGAGGAGCTAGCATCAGCGAAGACACAACGAGCTGAACAGCCATCTACTGTGCTGTAAACTCCAATAATTTTACCACTCTATATACTCGTGTTGCCCAGTGGAATAAAATGTCCTTTATATATGATGGCAGTGGCAGGATTCCCAATAGGTTCGGGGGCAGGAAGGAGCAGCCTAAACAGAGAAATGAAACAGGTGGGTTTTTACAAAGGTTTTACAAAGAAGGTGGGTTTTTTCAGCTGCCTGGTATATGAAAACAATCACGTGGTACTTTATGAAATTGCCACAGAGGTTCAGTCCCTAAATAGATCAAATTTGACAACAAATCATCCCAAGACTTTACAGTAAACCCTGTGAAGCGCTTCAAAATGTTTGACAATGCGATAAAGCCCTATATCAAATGCAAAGATTATTAGATTACTGACTTGAATTTCATTGAGGGTCTCATCTTCCTTCGAATCGTTTCTTTTCTCCAGCCCCTCTCCACGTAGTAGAGCTTCCAACGTAGTTCCTTCAGACGACACGCCGTCCTTTTTTAAGGAGATCTCCCCCTCTACAAACAAACAGATACAAGAAAAATGGCTGAGGATTCGGTTATCACGCCAAAAAAGAAATCCACCTTGCCTCAGTGGTGAAATGTGCTCACCCAACTCACGTTATTATATGTGGTCCCTAGTGGTACCAGCTTTGCATGATCAGATGTGCTCCTCTCCAAGAACGTTTAACACTGAACATACATTTCAACTGTTAAGCATACCAGTATGGAGACCTTAAACCCTGTTAAATAAGAGACTGAGCACTTTGAAAGATGTCCTACAATTGTGCGCATGTTTGATGGATTGGTTTGTGGCTGTTGTAACTTCAACTCGTGCAGCAGAACAGTTAATGACTATTAAAACTACCCCCATCCCCATTGCTGTCCAAAACTCATTGGGACCACAAAACTAACAACAACTGGATCTAGTACCACCACTGGTATATTGCAATGTAATCCGGTAGCCACACAATAATAATCCTTGCATTTGATATAACGCTTTTCACCGCGTTAAACACAAAATACAGTCTCCTCATAGTGAATTTAGTGTATTTCTCCCCAAAAAACACAGTCTCCGCACACTTTACAATATAATCTGTGAAGCGCTTTGAGATGTCTCAACGATGTGATAAGGCGCTACATCAAATGCAAGGATTATTATTACAATTAAAGCCACATTTTTTAGCAGGCGTAAACATTTCAGCTCTTAGTTTCAGACGAGTATCAAAATACCAACTCTGGCCTGGAGGGACATTGGAGCCCACCTCTGGTCTGTGCCCACGTCTCCAGGCAACTTCAGCCATCAGTGCACAGTGGTGAGCGTTTGCGCTAAAGTTAATGGGACACACAGAGCACAGGAACTTTTATGAACCATACTCGGGAACACGCCAAGTCGGAGTCCCTCTGTGTGCATGCCTGCAGAGCAGTTACCGGAGGCAACACTATGGGGAGGCTGGTGCAGAATCCTATTACTAAGCATGGCTTGGCTTATTATTTGACTGAACATTTAAAATGCTAATTCTTACCAAAGTGTTCACTGAACAGCATATGCTCTATATTTGTAGAATACCGCCCGGCTGCGAAACTTTAGATTGCACAGAAAGACAAATAGCAATGCTGCTCTAAATGTAGGTTAACGTTTTGCTGGAGGCATGTTGTTCACATCCATATACAGCCGAATGATTGTCAAAAGGGTTAAATGCATAACGTATCATTACTGCAAGCAGTTTTCAAATTTACTCCATGAATAAATACAAGATCACTGGGCAGCACTACACCATGCGAATATCTAGCTTTGCGTTAGGCTACATTATATACACGTATGAAAGATTTATGTGGCAGCTCTGCTGAGATTTGGTGCAGCAAATAGTAATATTAAATGATTGTGGTGGGAGATATCCAAGAGTCTGTGCCACAGCTCCCGTCGAAGGACACTACGTTTATTCTGCATATTTTCAGAGATTTCACCCCTCCACCACCACCACCTTCAACTCCTCTTGTCCCCGGAGACTTAATATCAGAAGAACCCAGCTGCAACAGAGCAATCTGTCATCTGCTCACAAAGCACATTCTGTCGGGAGGTTTGGGGGTTGGGGAGGTGGGGTTGGATGTAAGGGAAAAACGTGTTGAGCTCAATAAAAAAAAGATTTAAAATCTGAAACGAAAACAAGCAGCTAAATAGAAAACAATAAAAGGCCATCGCAGCAACAGAAAGAAACTCCAGGCGGTGTAAATATTTTATCAAAAGGCCATTAGCAAGAAGCGGAACATTTACTTAATGGTAAACATAAATTTTCGCAACAGAGGTTCTAGATACCGCAAAGGTCTGCAGGCATTGTGAGCTGGAATACAAATCTATTCGGCCTTCAATGATAAGGTAACCTTCAACGTGCGGTGTGGGATACCAGTGCTTTAAACGGACACTCTCATTACTCGCAAAACCAGCTCCAGCTCCCTCCCCACCCCCCACCACCCCTCAACCAAGCACCTTCACCACTCGCCACCGCAATCACCCCAAGAATATGTTCAAGACTTTGCTCCCATCTGCAACCAATTGCTTTCCAGTCTCGTGGTCTTTAGAATTGCTATCACATTTGACCTTTAGCGTCACAGAATCCCCTTCGCCCCATTCATTAGAACCACATCAATTTCCTCCCTTCCCTAAGCCATAAATTATTAAATGGGTACGACTGAGCAGAAATTATAAACTTCAGCCGTGTGGTGACAAATTATAAATGTGCAGAGGAACATCAAACGGAGGTCCCAAGACTCCTGCAGATCCTTTCAATCTCCATGAAAGTGATCCTTTTCAAATAAACATCTCTCTTCAGGGACATTAAGACTAGAGTGGGTTTATTAGTGGTTAAATCATTTTCTAATATATAATATATATTAAATATTTTTTTAAAAAACTACACTTTCAAAAAGAAATATCCTCCACCCCCCACCAAAACTCTTAGAGGTTTTGAATAGTCTCAGGGTAATTGCAGAAGAATATTAAACAGCATCTCCAGTATCGATTACAACTATAAATATTTACCTCTAAAATATGGTACAGTACTTGCCTACAAAATACAGCCACTACACTTTACAGTAAACCCAGTGAATATTCAAGGATTATTATTGTTACTGTTATGCATCTTTTACTTTGAAATAAAAGTTTTAGGAAGTTAAGCTCATCCTAATCTGCAGTCCAGAGTGTATTAGTGAGATTGCGTGGCAAGATTCGTTTGTGGCAAGATACAAGGCAGAAGTCTGGTGATTCTGCATAGCAGTGGGTCGGGGGTGGGGGAGAGAAGAGAAAGTCAGGGAAGGGAATGGGAAAAGGAAAAAAAATACACTTCTAACAAAACATTAAAAGAAATTAAAAGAAAATTATCCACACCCTTTTGTGGACAGCTCCTAACAGGTAGGTTAAACAGCAGGATTGGTGCAGGCAGGGAAAGGAGAAATTCAGGGTAACTTACACTTATCTTGTGTCCATCACTTAATTAAAACACAAGGTTAGATGTGCTTCACAGAGATTAATAAGCGATGAAGAGGCAACCACTAGTGCAGGTGATTTGTGTTGGCAACATCCTACAACGCCCCACCATCGGAGGTCGTGCTTTCAGCCACTACGCCCCAAAACTCTGGAACACTCTCCCTCAATCCCTCCGCATTGCCCCTCTTTCAAGTCCCGCTGCTGTGCACAATCGGCTGCCACATTTCGCCCACAAAATACACGGTCAATCCACTTCACAATATATCCCGTGAAGTGCTTTGAGATGTCTCAACGATTCTTGCATTTGATAACAATCCTTGTGCTATATCAAAAGCAAGGATTATTATTATTAACCATTCGTTTAAGAAAATTCTTGCAGCCCAAGAGATTAAAACCCTGACAATTTAAGGTAGGAGGGAATCCTGTAAGAATCTCTCTTTCCTCTCCCACATTCTTTGCCCCCACCTCCCGATCTTTTGGAACATGCTGAAAGTCACCATTGATAATTGGAGCTGTTTGAAGATGGTAACTCAACCTAAAAACAACAGATTCAAAGCAACAAAGTAAAACTGAATTTGTAAAAAAACACATTACTAACAGCGCTCGACAAATTATTTACGTCGGTCAGACCAGGTTTCCTTGAACAAATAAATAAAGCATGCCTTGGTTCTTTAATTTTGTGGCTATAAAGGACATTGCTGACACATAGATCGGGTTGCTTGACTGGTGTTTGATTGCATCACCACAAAGATCTAATAAAACCACTGAAAGTCCTCCGGGGCAAGAAGAGAGAATACTTGAGCAAACAAAAAAGTTTTCATCTCATCACCGCCCCCAATTTGCAGATTTTAACAATAATAATAATCCTTGCATTTGATATAGCGCCTTATCTTCGAGACGTCTTCACGACGTCTCAAAGCACTTCACAGAATATGCTGCAAAGCGAATTGATTGTATATTTTGTGGGCGAAACGCAGCAGCCAATTGCTCACAGCAGAGTCCCACAAACAGTTATGGCTTGAGAGACCAAACTTTTAATTTTTTTTCAATATTTATTTTGAATGAATTTTTACCCCTGGAAAAGCGATCTGCCAATCGACTAACAACCAGGTTCCTACTTACTGTTAGGTAAACAGATGTATGTGGAATAAGGAAACTTGCTCAACGGTTTGTCCTGCCGGGAATCAAGCCCAGGTCCTCTCACTTGCAAGGCAAGTGCTCTAACCAAAGCTACAGGACTACCCTTACAAAGCTAAAGTGACTTGCATTGCCCCGGCTCAGCATCAGGCTCCTCCACTGTTAAGCGCTTCGAGACGCTACCCTGAATGAAGGGCACTATATAAACACAAATTGTTGTTATGTTGCATTTCCCAGTTGAGAAAGAGCTAACAGACAGCATTCTCCTGCAACACTTTCCAAAAGCAAAAGGCGAAGAGTGCAAAGAGATACAAACTACTGATGAAAGCATGTCATGATTCAAACACTCCAACACCTCCACCCCACTTCCCCAAATCAACACCTAGTTTCAAACAAGACAAGGCTACTCAGATAACAGATTACAAATGCTCTTGATTCTGCAAACAAAAATCTACTATAAGTCTCTCAGACTTCAGGACCAAAATTAACTTTGCAAGTGACTTTAGGGGTCATGACAACAAAGGTCACCAAACAACCAACTTTGGCAATACTGTAGTTGCTTCTATTACTTACAATATTACCCTGTACCGTAGTGGTTAGCGCGCTCATCTCTCAAGCGAAAAGACCTGGGTTCGATTCTCAGGCAGGGCAAAAACTTAGGCAGGTTTCCTTACTCCACACTCCTCTGTTTACCTAGCAGTAAGTAGGAACCCATTTGTTAGTCGATTGGTGGATTGCTTTCTGGGAGTAATAATCCCTCATGAAAAAAATATGCTCACTTAATCCATGACTGTGTGTGTGACACTGCTCTGTGCAATTGGCTGCTGCATTTTGCCAAAAAAACGCAGTCAATCCATTTTACAATATAATCTGTGAAGAGCTTTGAGACGTCTAATGGTGTGATAAGGCACTATATCAGATGCAAGGATTATTATTATTATTACCCAGAGCTAATAAGATAGATAGAAGACCTTTAATAACAGTGCACTAATACAATATCCACACTAATGCAGTGTCTAAGTTGCTGAGGATCCATGCACAGTCAGTTGTTCTGCTCTGAACAGCATTCACTGAAGACCATTAATTTACTGCCTATAAGGCCAGAGGTATAACACAGTAATTAATTTTAAAATATTATCCAATTCCAATTTTGCAACAGTTACCCAAAAATAATAACTTTCTTTTTAATGCCTCGCTGTTTGTCAATTAGCCGGTTCAGTTCATTAAAGACTGCGCCTAAGGCATCATGGACCTTGGAGATTATCTACCATTTCATAATTAGTAGCTGGTTAAAGGGAAAGGATATTCCATCAAATTGCCCAGTAATTTCAGAATGTTTTCAGAGAAATATTGTTACGCTTTGCGATATCCTTGCCTTGCCGCATTTTGCAGTGTTGATCCGCTGGTTAGAGTCAGTCTGGGAGCACACATAATTTTGCTTTGTTCATATAATAATAATACTTGCATTTGGTGAAATGGAGTGACTGTGCATTTGTAGGCAAATGCAGCAGCACAATTGAACACAGCAATGTCCCACAAACAACTATGAAACAAATGATCAATTTCATTTAGGAGATTCTTCGCCAAGACACCAGGGGAAACTCCCTTCTCTTTTCAAGCAGTGCCAATTTGTTTAATGCCCACCTGAATAGGAAGACGGGACTCGGTTTAACGTCTTATCCGAAGGTCGGAAATTCCGACACCCAGCACTACATTGAATTATGGGATACTTCTGTAGAATACAATTCCTTTTTAAGCAGCATTACCAAAATAATGTACACAGTGTTCTTTGAGCCAGTGAAATAGACATGTAATATGACCAATAAACATTTCTTCCAGCATTTCCTCCATAAAAGGGAGACAAGAGTCACAGCCATGTCAAACTACACCAGGGCCTGAAAGACAAGAGACGACTGGTTTGATTTTAAACTTTACACTAGGCTTTCTGAAGGTTCAGTCAGGTTAAAAAAAAATTCAAGCATGCACGCACTTTAGAACTGTGAAGTTAAAAAGCTCCCAGCATACATCTTTCAATTTTTTCTTCATTTAAAATGATATGCATGGTGGTTTTTGTGGGCATCAACTGGTTAGGCAAGCAGGCATGTGCATCTCAAGGTTTTTTTTAAATATGTTAAACAATACTGAGCAAGTTTTTTTTAAAAAAACGCAGCATTTGTCAACATATGGCGCTCTGGTAGTTGAGAGATGGGTCTCCCATCTCAGTGTGTTCAAGTGCGGACTTTGCTTGCTCTATTACAAAATAAGCCCTGTATTCTCTTGTTTTGGAAAGTAAAGAAGTGTTAAATAGTACATTTGTAGTACCTGCAGGGAACAGGCTGCATGTTCTCACAGTGTAGCATACACTTCAGATAAAAACAGGGCTCATCGACGCAGTTGGAAATATTCGAGCTTAAATAGGTCACCATTTTTCAATGCACATAGAAACCCCCCTTTAGCAAACTTCAAACCCAAATTCAGATCAAACACGGGGCAAACATTTAGCCATTGTTTAACTCTATTTACAAAAGATGTACTCGAGATGGCTCAGATTGGTTATTAAAATTCTAGTTTACGAGCTGTGGACTGACTCTTGTGTAGAAAATTAGAAACAGCGTAGACCCAGAGTGGCTTGTCTGATGCTCTCGGATGTGCTGTGAAGTCTGAAGCCAGGGTATGAGATAGGCTGCAGATCACGGAACCCAATACTGAAATCTGAGTTACATAGACAGCAGTTATCTAAATCATTGAGGTTTAACATAATATTTTCTTTAAGCAGAATTTCATCTTCATTAACTTCAGATCCTCAGGACCTCCCCGACTCTTCCATAATAGAAACTTCAAACAAATATTTGCGTTATATTATTCTGGTCATTTGTCTCCCCCTCCTCACAACCCTTCTAAATGTAGGGTACAGTGCACACAGTTATTAAATATAATCCTTGCATTTGGTATAGCACCTTATCATGTTGGAAAGACGTCTCAACGCACTTCATAGAATTTACTGTGAAATGTGTATGTGCAGACGAACCCGACAGCCCAACTGCACACAGCAATGTCCTACAAAGAGTCATGGAGTGAGTGACCAATTTTATTTGGGGATTGTTGGCCAGGACACTGGGAAAAGTTTGGTTTAATGATACCTCCGACAGTGCTACCACTGAGCCAGGTTGACACACAATAGATAAATAATCCTCGCGTTTGATATAGCGTCTTATGTTGACGAGACGTCTAAAAGCACTTTACAGGATACACTGTTAAAGTGTGGTGACTGTGTATTTTGTGAGGGAAATGCTAAAGATAGCATTCCTAGACAAAAAAAAACCTAGAAGGACAAATAGGGATGACTGTCAACCAACGAAACCGGTTTGAAATTTCACAACACTGAGTGAGGACAAGGATCTGGGCTCAGCTGTGATGTCTTCTATGAGCACGGCACACATGAAGTATGGCCACTTGGTCAAGGTATTGGAGGGCACCTGAATGAACTGTACCACAGTGAACACGCACCTTTGGTAGTGGAGAGGAATCAAATCTTTTCTTTTTCCAAGAAATGCCTTACAGGTAAAGCCTCCGCTATTCAAAGCCATTTATTAATAATAATCATTGCATTTGATAAAGAGCCTTATCACATCGCTTCACAGGATATATTGTAAAATGAACTATTGTACTTTGTGGACGAAACACGGCAGCCAATTGTGCACAACAGTGTCTCACATTGAACAGAGGAGTGTGGAGTAAGGAAACTTGCCTCAGGTTTTGTCCAGCTCGGGAATCGAACCTGGGTCCTCTGGTTTGCGAGGTGAGCGTGCTAACCCCCACACGACAGAACTCCGTACTGTTAAATACTGTCTAGAACTGTGAAACGTGCCAACTTCAATGGCACCCGTTGAGAAGCACTCACCAAGCTTTATCTCGCAGAGCCTCAGTCTGGGATCCTCAGGGGGGTGCAGGCGTCTCTTCTTGCGCCAGCAGCGAGCCGGGTACGTGTACAGCTGTCCCGGTGCCAATCCTACACAATATTTCACACTTGCATCAGAATTGCACGTCACTCGTGAAGCTTATCAGAAAACAGAGATTAGGCGTTCGGCTATTAAGTGGAACCAATTTTTATGATCATTTAAATTGTGTGCCTTTGGAATCCAGGGAGCGTGTGAAGACCCCCAGAGATCGATGATGGTGTAAGTATATCGTTCACAAAAAATCTGTAATCAACTTAACTTAATCAACTTGCTATCTATCGGGTTACTCACTGTTCAAAAAATTTTTGAAAGTTACGAAAAAAATAACTCAAGACATTTTTTGCTCAGATCTTTTGCTTACATTTGAAACAACATATTAAGATGCATTTGAGACAGAGGAAATTGCAACCACAAGGGATTGATACACTGAAAGACAGAAATCAGCTGTGCTTCCATGGGTAGAGCAGGTGTTTCCCCATTGAAAGGATAGAAGCCCTGAATCAATCTCAGATCACTTCTTAAAAATGATCTCAAGAGACTGGTAGCCAGGGCCAAGGAAACAAGTTTCCCATCTAATTTTGAAGTCAGTTTTTACTGATTTTTTCTAAAAGAACACACAAAATGTGTCTATTTTGGCACTCCCTGAAATTCTAAGAAAATAATTCAAGTCTAGATCCAGGTGTCTTTCCTCCTCCCACCTCCCCTACCAGCTTCTAAGCAACATATGGTGCACGGCCTACAAAAACCCAACAAAGAGAGGTGGAGTACAGCAGTGTTTTAAAACGGCAGTTTTACTGTTTCAATCACTCAAGCAGCTTATCCTGCAGTTAGCTGAACCAAACGTTGAAGTTCCCAGGTTCATGCAGAGTTAGCTAATCTTGGTCTGGGTTCATGCAGAGTTAGCTAATCTTGGTCTGGGTGCCAGTGTGGGCTGCTGTCATTAGCCTCAATGAGTGCTGTCTGGGTTGGAGGAGGGTGGGGGTGGGGGGTGGTAAGACCTCAACCAGAGCTCATTGCCCATCTTTTTCCAGAGACCTTTGCTTGAACTTGCGTGGCTGTGTGCTTATCAGGCAAGGACAGCATGAGGCTCAACAGTAGGCGATCAGTCTACTGTGAGGCTCCCTGGTAGGGCTCACATAGTAACAATGACCATTCAGGTCGGCGGTGCGGGGGGGGGGGGGGGGAGAGGGTCTGTCCCAATAGAAGTAGAAATCAATGAATCAAGGACCTTACAGTGGAGAGATGGGAGGAAATTAGAAAAGGGGGAAATAGAGGCATTAAACCCTCCTCCAGCAATAACATACTTGTTTTACACAAACATGCAGACACACAACACACAGACCACACCCTACCTGGACCTCTGTGCCTCTTCTCCATCCAGATATAACAGTTGTTCTGAGCGACGCCAGTTTGCGAGTCCAGAAATGGGAGACGGACACTGCGCTCGGCACACAGCCGGGCATTGTAATTGCGACAATGTTCAATAGCTTCCTTGTAGAACTGTTCTCCGAGTCTGTCCACACGCAGACACATAGATAGAGGAGGAATTTATAATTAGAAAAAACAGTCAAACGGAGAAGAAAGCTCACAAATGAATACACTATTTCATATCAAACGTACTTACAAACGAAGTATCAAATCAGTACCAAGACTGTGCTGGAAATCAACGAAACAAAGACATCGGGATTATTTAATCAGTGTCCCATTAAAATGTGTGAATACTAGATCTTCCAGGAGTTTTGCAGGAATTAAATTCATGGAAGTATAACAACAATTCCACTCACTTAATCCAATTGAATCCCTTACAGTCAGTCCCGAGTGTTACATGACCAGTATTACGTACTAAACACTTTGATATCATTGTCTGGTGTTTGTTTTCAGCCTGGCTCACAAAGCAGTAAAATTTATTGCTACTTTAGAAAAACAGAGTATGGGCAGGCAGCAATTTAACGAAAAGTACAGTCAGATAGATAACTGCCTCGGTCAAACCCTCACCTTAAAACCTTGCATTCAATGTTATTGATGTCCTACAATAAAACTCCTGAGCTAGCCACAAAAATTCCACTCACAGCTATGAAACAAAACATAATTAGGTTCTCACTAAAGAGAACACATACTTTTTTAAAAAATATATTTTGGCTGGAATCTCAAAGGTAGCCTCACTGATTTCAGTTGGTGTCCCAACCCAATTTGCACGCACGCATGCACACACACACCGCAGCCACCTGCTATCGTTACAATAGATAGCAGGTTACACCAGCAGAAGTAAGCACACCAATAATTCTGTGGTCAATCAAAAGGGCTTTAACTGTGAGACTAGACAAGACAAAAGGCAGAGCTGGATCACTGCCCTCTGAAAGAGACACGCTTCGGTATCCTGATAAACAGTCGCACCCTATGTGAGAGACAAGATGCAGACTCTTCACATTGTAACTGACAGATTGAAGAGTCTGCCACTACAAGTCCATAATCAATTATGCATATTAATTTCAGTATTGTAGCTCGATTTTCGCCCACCAAACATGCGTGCACAAAATACAGTTTTTACATTTTACAATATATTCTGTGAAGCGCTTTGAGACGTCGGGTTTCTCAGAGATACAGACAGTTGCTTTGCTCCAGAATCTCCCAGACTATTCTTCAACAGACTGAAGGTAAATGCCAGATATCTGTGACCTGCTAATTCCATATTGAACTGTCCACTCTGTCCGCTCAGCAGTACATCTTCCAATGTATAGAGTTTAATACAGAAAAACATAGCTAGGAAGCAAAATTAAGAGAAAATAATTGTCCTTCCCCCTAACAAGAAGCGACAGGTTAATGTCTGCTAACTTTTAAGAAAAGCTTGTGTAATCCAATAGTTGTCGAAGATAATCAGGAGGTAAATAAAAAATCACGTTATTTAATCTTTATAATTAACCCATGACCAGCCACCAAGCTGTTTATTTGTGTGCCCACCAGAATACTAATATTTAACGTCTCATCATTGGCAATGCCCCTTTAATGCATTATGAGTCCATGTTCCAACATAGGGCTTGAGACTAGCTTTATTCACAATAAAGTTTCGCTGACAAAATTCACAGCCAGTTCACTTTACAGTATATTCTTTGAAACGCTTTGAGATGTTTCAATGACATGATAAGGGCGAAGATGTTGGGCAAGTTTCCTTACTTCACATGCCTCTGTTTACCTAGCAGTAAGTAGGAACCCGGTTGTTAGTCGATTGACGGATCGCTTTTCCGGGGATAATAATCCCTCAATAGAACAATAATAATTTGGCCACTCAATCCACAACTATTCGTGGAACACTGCTGTGAACAATTAGCTGCTGGGTTTCGCCTGCAAATATAGAGTCAATTCACTTTACAGTATATTCTGTGAAGCGCTTTGAGATGTCTAGAAGACGTGAAAAGCACTATATCAAATGCAAGGATAATTATTATTATTCCTAAAAACAGAGTTTTGCATGATAATAATAATATAATAATAATAATCCTTGCATTTGTATAGCGCTTTTCACGTCGGGAGGACGTCCCAAAGCGCTTCACAGAACACACTGTAAAGTGAATTGATTGTATATTGTGGGCGAACGCGGCAGCCAATTGCGCACAGCAGTGTCCCACAAACAGTCCTAGATTGAAAATGACCAATTTTTATTATTGTTTTTGGTTTTGGAGGGATTATTATTAGGCGTGTGGAGTAAGGAAACTTGCCCAAGGTTTCGCCCTGCCTGGAATTGAACTCAGGTCTCTCGCTTGCAAAGCGAGTGCTCTAACCACTGAGCTACAGGACTCCATTAAGGCATTAAATCAAAATACAAGGATTGTTATTATTACACAAGGGGAGAAAGAGACAAATGTACAGCTGCAATAGCAAATGAAGATTCTTACTTGTGCTAAAGAATGTGTCAAGGGATCTTTGTGAATCTTTTTGTTCAAAACGATCTCTGAACCCATCTCAATCTAATGACCACTGTCCCATTCAATTTCAGCAGTGGAATATGCTGTCTGCATTCAATACTATTTAGACCTATCTACCTAGCTTTCAGTCTTATCCTATTGTCTACATTCGCTCTGCTTCCATATGCCGTGGGCAATGATCCTCCAGATAATATTTGGTCATTCACCTCATCGCTAAACTTGATTTGAACTTGACACCAATTAAATTTGACACCAATTACTTGTGAAGCACTTTGAGACATTCAACACAAGGTGCTATAAAATTCCAGATTCTTTCTTTGTTTCTTTTTTCACCCCCTAATGTCTGTCAAAGTCTTATTTTTTTTAAAAAAAACTTGGAAAGAAAATAAAGTATTGGAAAAGTGTCAGGCATCATATAAGTGGCATTACAGCAAATGGGATCCACCATTGCTTCAGATTATTTGAAAGTTTCTGTGTGATTTGGGGCCTATAGCAGGGTTCAATCGAGGTAAAACTCTCATGAGTCTAATCTGTATAAATCGTAAAATTGCCTAATTCATACATCTACCCAAGTCCCGTTCAAGAATTTATATTCTATGCAAGTTTGACATAACTCCTACTTTGCATAAGTCATATTAAATGTATGGTTCCAACTGATATGTCATATGTGAGGTTTACTGTACTTCCCCCACAGAAGACCAAAGCTTTAACTTTCTATTCTCTGTCAGAACGGAGAATAGAGGGAGTTAGGAGGGAGGCAAGATCTGCAACACTGGAAGATCTTAAGTAATTCCAGTGCCAGAACATTCTTTGAGAAACTCGCAGCGTGCGCGTGTGTGTGGGAGGGTGAGGAATAATAAAGGAAACAGATCCTTGCACAACCTAGCGATCTAGTGATTAAAGACGTTGCATAGAACAGCATTAGGCTACACATATCAGAACTTGAAGCCTCATCTGTGCTACGTTAGCTTAGCTCAGTAGGGTGCACCATAATTGGCCTTAGCACCCCTGGAATAAAAAACAGTCAGTGTTCCCACTCACAATTACTATCCACAGGGAACCCTCCCCTCCCCCACCCATCTCCTCACTACGAACCCCTGGAAGGTGAGGATGTGTTGATATCCGGGAAGGACAGGACTGAGATCAGCTGCAATCGCCACACAATCAAAAAATCTATCACCATTTAAACATGAATACTACAGTACCACCGCTCACACATGAATGATGGCCACTTCTCTGTGTGCTGTAACCTGGGCGACCTCCTATTCCTCACCGAAGGGTAAGGAGTCAAGCCATGCCTTTGGGAGAGGAGGAGGGAGGGAGAAAATTAGTGGGAAGAGAAAAAGAGGAAGCAGCGTTTAAAAATAACTGCACGCTTTTCTGTTTGAAGTTATGCCAATGCACAGGGAATTTGAAAAGAATTTTTTTTAAAAATGAAGACACGCTAATTATTACACGGACACATCACAAGCAATTACTACACACTTAGTTGAAATTGACAGAAACTGTTCTTCTCCCATGTTATGGCTACAAGATGTCAACACAAATCCAGAGAGCAAATTAGATGGGAACTGGTGCACTGCCTGAAATGTTCAACGCGCATTAGAATCACTGCTAGACATGGAGTGGCTCTGAAATACAATGAGGTGTCAAAACGGCTCAACGCAGCCAAACATTACAATTTTTTATAACAAAAATTAGTTCAAGTGAAATGGGCTCTGGGAGATCAAGCAATGTTTTTGCTGCTCCTAATGAGGTGCAGTGTGTGTGTGTGTTTGTATGTAAAAAAATACCTAGAAATACATAGACTTCAAGGATATACAAACGCAGATTCAACCTATATTTTACTCTAACCGCAAGCAATACAGTTCTGTACTCAAATCATGGGGAGATTATCTGAAAGGTGAATGAATAGTTTTAAGAATGTAATAAAAAAGGCACTATAACTTGCTAAAGAAAATGAACCTTGTAGTTATTGAATAAGGGTTTTCCTCTTCTTTTTTTGGCAGGGATGAAGTTGCAAGTTAACGCAACAATATTGGCACAGTGGAGTCCTTCTCTTCTCTACCTCCTCCTCTCCTGAAAGGAAGCATTTGACTGCACAAGCTGCATCGAGCAGCTTTAGTTTCTATATTGTTTTGAAGCAATGCAATTCTGTCCCCTACAATGTGGGTTTCCCCACACCACATCGTCATTTCTCCCTCATGCCCCTGCATAAGAAGGCAGCTGTAGGTAGGCTCAGTGTTTAAAGTAATCTTGGAAGGCTGACAATTGAGGAATCATCACCTATACTACAGGGTGTCCACTAAAAACCTCTTCCTCCTCTTTTACAAAACAGTGATACAAGACTATGGAGGAGCTGAAACAAGCTGTCAGGGACGCATTTTGCCTCCTCATTCCATCATGTTATGGAAGATGTCGCACCAAACATGCCGATGGATCATTATCTGCCATGAAAATGATGGAGCTCACTCAAACCGATCCTCTGGTCGTCTAAATACAGTTAAACACTTGAACTGAATACAATTAAGTACTTCTAAATACAATTATCATCATCCTTCCACACATTTCAGTTGTTAGTCAGTGCACTGTA